TATACAATATTTTTGTCAAAAATACTCCAACTATTTAACTTCTGTTATCTTTTTTAACAATTGTTACCATCCATACGCATGCATCCACCATATATTTTCTTATCTACTTAAATGGTAATAATAATATATAGACATTATATATACATTGGAATACTATATAAGTTATTTCCTAAAATATAAATATAAAATTTATAAAAAATGGTTTTCATTATTATTATTATTATTATTATTATTATTATTATTATTATTATTATTATTATTATTATTATTATTATTATTATTATTATTATTATTAATCTAAGATTTTAATATAGAGTATTAATATTTGTCAATTATTTTTGTGCCTCGCGTATAAAAAATACTATAAAATCCAAACATAATCATCATCAACCCATGAAGTCCTAGAGAAAACGTATGTGTAACGTGCAACTACATAGCTTTGTTTTCTTCAGTGCTTTTCAACTAAATAGGTTTGTTTGTCATTTCTCATTAATTGCGTTGTGAACTTAATTCTTCTTCCCCAACCTTTTTTTTGGTTGTGTTTTACCCTTCCATATTTAATGAAATGTAATATTCCGTTCAAAATTTATCAGGTTGGAGTGTATTCTAATAACGTGGAATGTATTTGCACTATAATGTCAAAAAAAAAAAAATGTCGATGAATCATAAATATAAAGTATCCTGAAATGACAATGTGATGACTTATAAATGAAAATGGGAAGAAAATGATAGGTGTGCATTTAAAAACTCGAATTCTTGTCATAGATTTTATTTTATTAAATAAAAAATAAAGAAATATTGTCACATATTATTTTATAAATCAATCAAGGATAAAAATTAGTACAAATGAAATAAAAAATGAGAATAATATATAGAATAATAGAATGGTGATATTTTCCTTCTTTTTTTTTTTTTTTTTTTTTTTTTTTTTTGAAAACCCTTCTTATTTTTACTTCTCCAATTGAGGTGGGATTAAAAACGTAGAATTAATGTGCAAGTAGGCTGCTTTGTCATTACGCAGGTGACTTTCGGACAAGACCGTACATTCAACGTACAACTAACTACGGAGCTTTGTGCCTTTGAACTTTGTCCTATGTCCTTAACTTTTTAGCTTTGCTTCTTTTGCACTACCATATTTAATGAAAGAAAAAAAAAATGATATATGCACTCTAGGGGAGTAATCCGTTACGTGTCTTGATTTTATTAGAAAAAGATAAAAAGAAAATAATAAAAACTATGGCGTATATTGTTTTGAATGAATCAAAAGGTGACATGTAAACAGGAGACCAGGGGTAGAATGTAAGAGTACATGTAGTATTACTCAAGAAAAAAATGACATATTCTATTTTGTCAAAAGGAATACCAAATACGATCCATATTTGTCAATTTAAAAATATAAATTACATTTTTATCTCTCAATTATAGTATACGAGAAACCTGACCTCGTATAAGCGAAAGCGATAGTGTGTTGATCTCCCGCCGCAGTGAATGATGTTCTTGTTGTGTTGCCTCTTGTTGTGTTGTCCCATACTTGACTCAGAACCCTATATAGCGTATTGATGTCTACTGAGCAGTATAAATACCGTATCTTTATGTGTTATATAATGAATATATGTATCCCATCAATCCAAGTATTGGACAAATATGGTTAACGGTCTACTGTTCAAGAGGAAACACAACAAGAACATCAACTGTGGCTAAAGATCAACACAACTATTGCTTCCTCTTATACGAGGTCAGGTTTCTCAATTATTGTTCATTATTTAGAATGTTTAGAAAATTGGGGGGAAAAAAAACTTATGTTTTTCAATTTATGGATAGTTTGAAAACTTGAAAGTTGACTTTCGAAAGTCATTTTTCAAATTTTTTTCGTGGTTAGATAATCAAATAAAATAAAGTGAAAAGAAAAATATTCATTCTGATCAACAAAAAAAATGTCAAAATTGACAAAAAATGTCTTCATTTTTAATCGGAAGACATTTTCTGAATTTTTATTTTCTTGTCTCCCTTCTTTGTCATCTCTCTTCAAACTCGTTTCCAAATTATTATTACTACTACCACATCATACTTATTCATACCATCATCATCACAACTATCATTACCACACCACCACCACATGCAACTACCACACTATAAGCACTATTACCGCCAACCCACCACTACCACTAGGCCACCACCAAAACAACCACTACCGCCACACGCCCACACAATAACCACCCTCACTATACCACCAATTATTATTATTATTATTATTATTATTATTATTATTATTATATAACAAATAATATTATTTCAAAATATATAACAAATAATATGTTCATTTTAAGGACAAAGAACCAAACAAAAAAAAATACAATTTATTAACTTTTATCCAAACAAAAAAAAGATAGTTTTATGACCTTCTGCCAAACACGTACAAATTTTTTTAATTATTTTTTTGAAAAATGAATCATTTTTTGGAGTTCATATTTCCAAAAACAATTTCAAATTCTCAAACGAAAATACTTTTAAAGATTAGGTTAATACTTCTGTGAGATCGTCTCATGGGTCTCAATCTGTGAGACGGGTCGGATCTTTGATTAATGTGTTAAATCTTTGATTAATGGGTCGGATCTTTGACCTCATTAATCAAAGATCCAATCGTCTCACGGATTTAGACCGGTGAGACAGTCTCATAGTACACAAGTTTTTGCCTTAAACATTAACCCCATTTGCCAACTAATATGTAGGGTGATGAGTGATGACACATGGCCAGCCATGGCCGGTGGTTGTCTTCCTTCTTCACGGACAGCCATGGCCGTCCGGCCACGACCGTCTTCCTTAGACGGCCGTGAAAAAGGAAGACAATCACCGGCTGTCCGGCGCGGACAGTCGGTGGCTGTTCTTTCTTTTTTAATTTTTTTTTAAATTTTTTAATTATTTTTATTATTATAAACAATTAATTAATAATAAATAATATTTTTAATAAATAAAAAAACATTTGTTTTAAAAAATAAAATAAGAAAGACACATGTCAACACCATATCGATTTAACCTGATAAACAAGTTATATTGGACTTAATTGAACAATTTTATCGGTTTATGAGACTTGAATGGAGCTTTTTTCACTTAGGGGACCCAATTGCACTATCCACTCGACTTAGGGGGCTAATTTGACATTTTTCCCTCTATTATATTACCATTCCAAATGCTAGTCACGTGATTGAAACCCGGTGGTGGGGGTTTTGGATTCTTTGAATTATATTGAAAATGATTGAAAAAGTATAAAACATTATGCTACTTTAAAAAGAATTATGAGTATTTTAAAAAATATTAACCTCATTTTATATTTTGTTGTTTACTTTTCTTTAAAGAGAAATATATGCTTTGACCTTGTAGTCAAGCAACATGAAGTGACTTTTCCAAGTGGGAGGTTATGGGTTCAAGCCTCAGTGAATAAGATTTTTTAAATTTAGAAAATACAGAAGAGTTAGACATGCATTGAATCTGGACACCAGCGTTATTTTCTTTTCGTTTCTTGCATTCTCCTTTTCCCCTTTCTTTACTCTCTTCCCTCATTTTTAGCTTAATCCTTTTTGTAATAATTTTTTTTAGTACTATTGACTCTATTAGAGTGTAGTATTTGTTAATGTCTCCACTAAAGTGAGAACTCGTGACTTCGCATTTGAGAAAGTCACAGTTATGTCACTTAACCACAAGTCTAGTTTGTGATATCTTTACTACCGTAATTATTAAAATTACAATTTAAAATAATTAATTATTTTGAAAATATATTTATTAATATATACGGAGTATTATTTTAGCCAAGCACATTGTGCTCAGATGGTATGTAGTGACATCTCCCATATGGGAGGTCATGAGATGAGATTGAGCCTCAGTAGAGACGCTCTTTGTGCTTTATTAGGTTTAGAAAGTATGTTTGAACAGATATTACAATGTAATAGAGTCAGTAGCATTTAAAAATATATTATTTTAAATTTTTATTAATGGTTGTTACTTTTTAAATATATAATATTAGTTTATCGAATTTGTCTTTATAATTCTTGAAAATGGAGTGTTGAAAATGAAATTGAAAATTTGGATAAATGAAAAATTAGAAAAAGAAAATTTTAAAATATTTTTTTTTAAAAATGGAAAGTTAAAAAAATATTAATTTTAACTGATTATTTTTCTTCCTTGCGACCTAGGGTTTTCCTCTTTCCCCCCCTGCGATCTAGGGTTCCGAATTACGTGCATGGGAACAGGGCCATTGGAGCAGCTTGCTAACCTCCGATGGACGTGCAGGAGATAATAACACACACGGCAGACATCACGCTGGACGACGAAGAACAAGGTGTCCGGTTCGAGGATGAAGATCTCGACGTCCAAGCCCTACCGGCGTCGAAGGAAACCTGGACCATTGTTGGTCGGTTTTTGACGGATCGGATTCTCAAGACCGAGGTGATGAAGCGTGTTATGGCTTCGGCTTGGAAGCCTCTGATGGGTATTGAGATAACGGATGTGCAGCCCAATTTGTTCTTGTTCACCTTCTTTGATGAACCGGACATGAAACGAGTTATGGATGAGGGACCTTGGGCGTTTGAGAATGCGACGCTGCTATGCCAAGTCCTGAACGATGGTGAAGATCCACTATAGGTTAGTCTAAACACTATGGACTTATGGGTACAGGTTTCGGACATCCCCCAGGGATACCGTACGGTTAAAGTGTTGGAAAGAATTGGAGACTATGTTGGGGTTTTCTTGCGCTATGATGAACGAAATTTTGAGAGACAGTGGACTTCCTTCTATAGAGTTAGAGTCACCCATGATGTCTCAAACCCCTTAAAGCGGCGGATGAAGATGATTCTGAGAGATGGGTCCTGGACATGGATTAACTTTAAATATGAACGCCTCCACATATTTTGTTTTTTTTTTGTGGAAGAATGGGCCATACGGATAAATTTTGCTTGCAAGCTCGCCGTTCGTTGTTGAGGTTGGAACAGTATCCGTTTGGTGTGTCGATGAAGGCGGGGGGTACGAGTCCGGCGAAGGTGTTGGGGGAAAAATGGTTTCAACTAGGCCAAGAGAGGAGGCGTGAGATTGGCTATGGGAGTGAGGGAGGGAGAATGGCGGTGGGAGTTGGGGTGGGAAGGAGTGGGCAGTCTCGGGTGGAGGTGACTAAGTCTATGACTGGGATGGGTTCGGGATTTCGGGGTGTGGATGGGGTGGGCGGTGAGGGCAATGGTTGTGAGGGGGTGGGGGTTCGGGTAGATCCAAAAAGACAGAGGACGGACATCGGGGAGGTGAGTGCTTTGAATGGGGACATGGTTGTTGATTCCGATTCTTTGATGGCGGGACCTGTGGATCAGGTCCGCCGGTCCCAATGAGTACCTTAAGTTGGAACTGTCGTGGCTTGGGTAATCCACAGACAGTTCGCGAGATTGAGGACATGGTGTCCTCTAAGAAACCCGACTTTATATTTCTCATAGAAACCAAGGTTGACCGTGATCATGCGGAGCGTCTTCGGGTTAAACTTGGTTTTGATGGACTTTTTTGTATTGACAGTTCTGGTTTGAGTGGTGGATTGGCTCTGTTGTGGAGAGCGAATAATACAACGAGATTGATTAGTTATTCCACAAACTATGTGGATGTTGAGGTGACTATGCCGGGGTGTGAAAAGTGGAGAATGACTGGCTTTTATGGCTTTTCACAGAGGGGTCAAAGGAGAGACTCGTGGGATCTTATTCGTACCTTAGTTGGCAGATCGAATCTACCGTGGGTGATGATTGGAGACTTTAATGATTTACTTTATCAATCTGAGAAGCGAGGTGGAAACCCTCATCCTCTGAGTTTATTGCATGGGTTCGGTGAGACTATAGAGGAGTGTGGATTAGCGCAGATGCCAATGATGGGATATCCGTTTACCTGGGAAAAAGGAAAAGGCACACCGAATTGCATAGAGGAAAGATTAGACAAGGTTTCGACTAGCCAGAGTTGGCGTTAGAACGTGCCGGATGCTAGTGTGCAAAATATATTAACCCGAAAGTCCGATCATTCTGCTCTTTTCCTTGGGATTCTGAATCTTCAGGAAAGGACGGGTGGTCTGAGAAGAGGGTTTCGTTTTGAGATGGCATGGCTGCACGATGAAGGATGTAGGGATGTGGTGGAGAAGGCATGGAATGAGGGCGCAGGAAGGGGGTTGCAGGAATGTATCTCTAATTGTGGAAATCGTTTGTCGCGTTGGGGAGGAGAGCGTTTTCATAAGTTTGGTGAACGGATCAGAAACCTGCGGAAGGAACAATTGCGTCTGAGGGGGTGTAATGATCCGGTCTCATTAGCTGAGTTCCAACGTTTAGAGGATTGCCTATGTCGTATTGAGGCCCAGGAGGATACATACTGGAGGCAAAGAGCCAAGCAGCATTGGCTTAAGAACGCGGATGCTAACACGAAATACTACCACAGGTATGCATCTCATCGCAAGAAAAAGAATACTATTTTAAAAATTATGAATGATAGTGGGGATTGGGTGGAAGGTGAAGCCATGAGGAATGTTATCTACAACTATTATAAGACTGTCTTTACCTCCGACTCTCCAAGTGATAGTGGGGAATTCTTTGGAAATATAGCTTCTCGGGTACACAAGTACAGAATGAGTTGCTCTTGCGGCCCTTTGATGCTAGTGAGGTAAAGAGTGCTCTATTTTCAATGTTTCCTGACAAAGCACCAGGACCGGATGGAATGAATCCGGGTTTCTACCAGCATTTTTGGGATGTAGTGGGTGGTGATGTATCGGCCTATATTGTGAATTGTCTTAATACTCGCTCGTTTCCAGCTCGCCTAAATGATACAAATATAATATTAATCCCTAAGAAGAAAACCCCTGAGATGGTCTCGGATTATAGACCGATAGCACTGAGTAACGTGGTATACAGGATTATGGCTAAGGTTATAACTGCCAGGATGAAACGGCTTATGGGAGATATTATATCTGACACCCAAAGTGCTTTTATTTCTGACAGGCTAATAACAGATAATATTTTGATTGCTGCTGAGATTGGACATTTTTTGAATAGAAAGCAATGTGGAATCACAGGATGGGGGGCTTTGAAACTGGATATGGCAAAAGCCTATGACCGAATGGAGTGGCCCTTCTTGCGGAGTATGATGTTAGCATTGGGCTTTGATGAAAGGTGGGTGGATTTGATAATGCTGTGTGTGACCTCAGTTTCATATAGTATTCAGGTTGGTGGAACACGAAGTGACCAGATCATGCCGACTCGTGGATTGAGGCAGGGTGATCCACTGTCACCTTATCTCTTTATTATTTGTGCTGAGGGACTTTCATTGCTACTACAGCAGGCACAGTTGAGAGGAAATCTACATGGGTGCAGAGTAGCTAGGGGAGCCCCCCCTATATCCCACTTATCTTTTGCAGATGACAGCTTACTCTTTTTTAGAGCAACTGCGCAGGAAGCCAGTGTGGTAAAACAGTTTTTATCGGTGTATGAGGAAATGTCTAGGCAAGCGGTGAATTACTATAAGTCAAGTATTTGCTATAGTAAGAATACGCGGGATGAACACAGAGATGAGATTGCCAGTATTTTGGGAGTGGTTCAGGCTCCGAATTTTGGGAAGTATTTAGGACTTCCATCATTTGTGGGCAGGAATAGGAGAGCAGTTTTCTCATATATTGATGATAAGATTAGACAGCAGATTGGGTCCTGGAATAAGAAATTGCTTTCACAGGCAGGTAAGGAGGTCTTATTGAAAAGTGTGGCACAGTCTATGCCCACTTTTTCTATGAGTGTCTTTTTACTACCTATGAATACTTGCACAGCCATTGAGAGAGCTATGAATCGTTACTGGTGGAGATCTAAGGATGATCAGGGCATCCATTGGAAGGCATGGGATAAATTGTGCATCCCTAAGAAATATGGGGGATTGGGCTTTAAGGAGTTGCATGCCTTTAATTTAGCAATGCTGGGGAAGCAGGCCTGTCGTTTACTCACCAAACCTGAATCATTGGTTTGCAGAATATATAAAGCCAGGTACTATCCTAAAGGGACATTCTTTGATTCTTGTATAGGGAATAATCCAAGTTACTGCTGGCGTAGTATTATGGCTGCACAGGAATTAATTTGTGGGGGAGTCAGACGCAGGATTGGAAATGGGAAGGAAACTCTTATATCACCCATGGCTTCAGGATGAAAATAGTGCGAAAATAATCACTGACAAACCACCATACTTGGCGCAGGCAACTGTAATGGGATTAATAGATCAGGAAGCGGCGGCCTGGGATCATGATATTTTAACTGATATTTTCATCCGGAGGATGTGACACGAATATTGAAAATACCTGTGTCACCAGATTATGAGGATATGTGGTATTGGCATGGTGATATAACAGGAGAATACTCGGTAAAAAGCGGTTACAGGCAAATAGTGGGAAATTATGAACAGACGACAGGGATGTTTGATAAATGGCCCAAATTATGGAAGCTCAAAGTACCCCCGAGATGGAAAACATTTTTATGGAGAGCCTTGAATAATATATTGCCCACAACAACAAACCTCATTATAAAGAGAGTGGAGATTAGCCCAACATGTGCTATGTGTGAGATTATGCATGAGAATGTTATGCACTCTTTGGTTAGATGTGATTATATATACAAGGAACATTTGGGCACAATCTCACCTTCCAATCCCCAATACTATCACAGATATTTTCCATGCTTGGTTTAGTGAGATATTAAATATTCTAGATGATGATGGAATTATTTATGTAGTAGGCCTACTATACTATATATGACGAGCGAGGAATGGAGCTGTGTGGGATGCATACTTGCCCAGACCACAAAAGATAATTGAAACTGTAACCGCAGCGATCCGGGCATGGCAAATTGCACACCCGGACCGCCCGCAACAGCAACACGCCCCGCGTGGATTGCCCACGGCAACATCCGAGCAACACCAAGGAGTGGCACAACAGCCTGCCGCCGTCCCGCCCACAAGCCACACGGCTGCCTCCCCACAGAATAAATGTTACTTTGATGCGGCCTTTTTCCATGCCACAAATAAGACCGCTGTTGGGGCAATTATCCTAGACGAACAGGGATCGTATATCACAGCTCTACAGGCGCCATTGATAGACTGCTTCTCCCCGCTTATGGCAGAAGCAATTGCATGTAAAGAAGTGTTATCCTGGCTATGGGATCGTCGAGAGAGATCGGTAGACATACTAACGGATTGTTGTTACTACAACAGTATTTAACACAAGCGAAGGATACACCACGTTCATACCTCGGCTATGCCATTGACACCTGCAGAAACCGGATGGTTTCCTTTGATTATGTTTCAGTTAATTATGTTCCTAGATCGGATAATTGTTTAGCACATATTTTAGCCACTTCGGCCTTTAATTATTCAGCACCTATGTACTCGGACAATGGTCCGCCAGACTCTATTTCAGCATATTTCCAATAAATGCCGCGCAGGCTCTTTTCAAAAAAACATCAATAAATATAAAATTAAGATATTACCCTTTTTGTTGAGTACTACCGACTATGTTACAATGTAGTATCTGTTCATAACTACTTTCTCAATCTACTAAAGCACAAACAGTCAATATCGCCCCCACTGAGGCTCGAATTCATGACCGTATATGTTCATAACTACTTTCTCAACCTATTAAAGCACAAAGAGTCAATATCGCCACCACTGAAGCTCGAATTCATGACCGTATCTGTTCATAACTACTTTCTCGATCAACATACTAAAGCACAAAGAGTCAATATTGCAGGCTCGAATTCATGACCTCCTAAATAGGAGAGTTACTTCGTGCCACTAAACCACAAGGTAATTTACAATTAAGATATTACCTAATTAATCAAAATCTCTAATTTTAATTCCAACGTTAAAAACCCAATATAACAGTTATTTTCATTTGTACAGAATATATAAATAAATTTTATATTAAATAATTTTTTATTTAAATTTTAACAAATAAAAATTAATTTATTTATAACATAATAATTATAATAGGTTTTTAGTTTTTATTATTTATCTTCAAAAATAAGAATTTAACTTTTAATAAATTTATTAATATGCACTATTGAAAATTATGAAATTTCCGACCACCTGAAAGTAATCTTAAATAAATTTGATATCAAAAAGCGGTCGGAAATAGCAACAAAGGTTTTTTCCGGATACCAAAAGTGGTCGGAACAAGGCTTTCGACTTGATTTAAGATCACTTCCAGGTGGCCGGAAATTCCATAATTTCCAGTATAGTGCGCTTATATAAAGCACCTACCTTAACTACAACTTTATTTTATAAGAGGGTACACAAATGCTAATATTAGGCATATGTAGAGTGTATGCACACTGACTTATTATTAGGGTCTTAAACAAATCAAATTGAGCTTTATGGTTATGAGATGTGTTTAGTTTATTTTTAGACTAGTCGAAGCTATATGTGGGTAATTTTATTTCATTGTGTGTCTAAAAACATATAAAGCCATTGAGTGGAGTGGAGTACAGTGCAGCATTATACTTACACTTTTAAGCTATATATACCATTATGGTTTATATATAGAATTAGGCTTTTAATTTCTTACTGTCAGCAACCCATGAAAAGAAAACATACAACATTAGGGATACCATAACCCAAGTCAAGATGGCTAACAGCATCTACACAAATGTATTTTTTGTAATTTTTGGAATAGTAAAAAGTAAGTGTGTAGTTTTTGCATAAATGTGAGATGAGATTTTTTGGTGTATTTTTCTCTCGTAAGTGCACAACTTTTGTGGGGTCCATTGATTGAGAAATGAAAACAAAACATAATACTTTTCTTCGCGTGTTGAAGACACAGGTGCATGGCACGCGCCCGTTGGCGCTTGTGCTGGGCTATTTTTTTTTTTCAGCATCTGACCTCCTTTTTTTTTCCCAATTCTTCCCTCTTCCCCCTCTCTCTCCTAGTGACACTTCAAAAACCGTGTAAAATGCATAGCTGATGAGGATGCTCTAAGGATACACACTTGTAACCACAAGATCACGAGTTTAAATTTCAGCCTTTTGGTTTGAGCCGTTTAGTTATGGGCAACCTAAACTGATTTACCTTCTTATAACTCTTTGGCCATTAGGGTCACAAAGCTAGGTTTATCCCGTGGCTGTGGGTTTTATTTATTTATTTATTTTTCATTTAATTTCATCATAATTAAAATATAAATAATCCATCTAGCTAGATCGGAGTTGAAAAGCCAGTCAGCAACATCAGACAAAAGCTTGACGTACTACGATTTTCAGTAATATTAAACACTAGAAATGAATGCGACCCACACCTCTAACTAAAGCAACCATTTTCTCCACCCTATAAATTCCAGCAGAATTCCACTTAGATGCATGCAACTCTGATCTGCCCTTCTCCCTCATTGCATCCTCTCTCTCATCTAATCTGGTCGAGTTTCGATCTCTTTTCTTCATCAATGGCGGCCGTGGCGGTTGATTCATTGTCTGCAAGTGGTGCTAATACCGGGTTTAAGGCTATCCCGGGGATAGTGAAGGATAAGGTGGTGGGGGTAGCCAAGAATGCAAGCAAGATTGGGAAAGATGATCCAAGAAAAGTGATGCATTGTGGGAAAGTGGGATTAGCTCTCACCCTCAATTCCTTGTTCTACTACTACAACCCTCTCTATGACGGGTTTGGACAATCTGGAATCTGGGCTGTCTTGACTGTGGTGGTTGTCTTTGAATTCACTGTTGGTGAGCCTTTCACTTGAATTTTTTCTTGAATTATTGTATCATGAAAATTACAAGTTCAATTCTTTAAACTGTTTTTTTTTTTTTTCTTCCATTCTTAGGTGGAACCCTTTCCAAAAGCTTGAACAGAGGTTTTGCTACATTCTCAGCTGCTTCTCTGGGCTTTGGAGTTGTCTACTTGGCTCAACTTTCTGGCCGAGTAGACGAGCAAGCTATGGTCATTGGCGTAGTGGTTTTCATTCTAGGTATAATAAAGGTTTCTTTACCGCGAGAACATTTCAGTCTTTTTACAAGTAAATTTAGCCCATTAAAATATACCAAATAAAAATTTAATCAAATTAATAACTCAAAACAAAACCCTTTAAATGTTGAGTTTATATTCAAGCGCACATGTTATGCACGCATTATTTTATTTTTAACTTAGGTGATCTCAACTTAGTCGGACTAATACTAATTATAATTGTGGGTTTTGGGTGCGTGCAGCTGCGTTGTCAACTTTCACAAGATTTTTCCCTCGAATAAAAAGGAAGTATGACTATGGGATGGTGGTATTTATCCTCACCTTTAGCATGGTGGCGGTTTCCGGGTACCGGGCGGAGAAGATCATGGTGATGAGTTATCAGCGGCTGTTAACGGTGGTCATCGGTGCCACCACCTGCATAATCATTTCCATTCTTGTTTGCCCAGCGTGGGCCGGAGAGGATCTACAAAACCTGATTGCCGGTAACATAGAGAAGCTTGCAAAGTCATTGGAAGGTTAGTTAGTGGAAGAGCCATTCATAAAAATATTTAATTTCTTTTTCTTTTCGTGATTGAATTAGTTTATAACTTATATATAATTGTTGTTCAGGTTTTGGCAATGCATATTTTTGCTTTCCGGAGGAGGATGACGAAAGTGGGGTGGTGACCAAGGATGACAAGGAATATGATCATCAACACTATAAAAGTGTCCTTAATTCTAAGACCTCGGAGGAATCTTTGGTGAGTATTATGTCCTACAGCACGTAATTAAGCTGGTCTAACTGTTTACTTGCAAATAACTACAAGTTCACAAGTTTCATCTTGATGGGAGCAACTTATATATTGATTTTCTTGATTTGAGTTGATTAGTTGATTTTACTTTACAGAAAGACAGATTTATTCTGTATACACTCGAGTAATGACTGAAGTTGATTTATAATTTGTAGGCAACATTTGCATGGTGGGAGATTGGTCATGGAGAGTTTAGATTTCGTCACCCATGGAAGCAATACTTGAAAGTGTTGCTAGGGAATGTGCGTCCCATATTCATGCACTTTCTGCATACTTAACCTCTGAAAACCAGGTAATTAATTAATTAATCAATTAATTAAAGTGAGAATTAGGGAACAATGAAGCATGTTGAAATTAATTAAGAAATGCAATTAATTAATTAATGCCCGCAGGCACCAATAGAGTTTGTGAAGAGAATC